TCATTATTTAAACTAACAATTAATATTTTACTGTATTTAATATAAAAAGCATATGTTAATTAATGTTGAACCTACACTAGTCTTTGAGTCTCTTCACATTAGTAGTTCAACAACAAATAGGCTTAAGTTACCAAATGAAGAGTTTGGAGATTTTATGGAATTGCTTACAAAGTGGAATTTATCTGATACATGTGGAAGCGATATACTTAAATTTTCACGTAAAATTTGCCGAGATGATGTAAGATTACCCACTTCTGTTAAGCAAAACTGTTGATTAATAGATCAAATAAATGTACCACATATCTTCTTTAAAAAAATGCCCATAATGACATATAAGAAAACAACATACTACTTTCGTTACCGTCAAATTTTTGATGCTATAAAGGAACTGTTAAGCAACCAGGAAATATATGACAATTGTACCTTTAAATTTACACCATTGTATCATAATGGGTAGAGAATTTACCATAAGTAATATAATGGAAAATGGTGAAAAAGTGTACAAGGGTCGCTTCCTGAAGGAGCAAAGGTTTTGTCTATCATCCTGTATTCTGATGCGACAACTTGCGACCATTTGGGCAAGTCTAGTAAGCATCTAATTTTTTTGACATTGGGCAATATAATTAGTTGACGCAGAAATAAACCCGATGTCAAAGTTCTATTGAGTTATCTTTCAATTTTGAAGGCAAAATCTATCTCTCAAAAAAGATCTAAAGGCTTTAAATTAGCAAAGCGTACTCTTTACCAATATGCTTTAAATATATTAATACATCCATTGCTTGATTATAAAAACCATGGATTTGATCTTTAAACAGACAATGATGAACTATGGTGTTATCCATTTATTTCTTTAATGCTAGGAGATCTTCCAGAAAATGCTGCGATGACTTTAACATTTAACTCTGTTAATTGTAAACACCCATATCACAAGTGTTTAGTAGAAGGTGATAAATTAAATAATGTAGAGTTATCAGACGACCAAATTATTTTGAGAACACCGGATACTATGAAAGATTTTGTTGAACAAGGTGTTGCACAGCAGTATTCTTTACATAATATGGAGAATATTTTTTGGAAATACCCGTAAGTATAACTGTATAATATTAGATTGCAGTAAATTATGCGTTAAGTTACACAGTATATTTAAACATATTATTCTTTATACTTAGTCAATTAAATATTTACGTGGCAATAATTTCTGATCGTATGCATCACCTTGACTTAGGGTTGTTCAACTACTAAGTGATCTACACTAGAGAACTACTAAAAGAATTGTATGGTCAAATAGCGGTCGATGAACTTGACAACTGACTAGCTAGAATTCTAAGATTTTCTGGCCTCAAAATATTCAAGAATGAATAAAATTTTCATTTTTTTTATTTAATTAGCTGCATCAAGTAACAATGGTAAAAGTGACGTCAAATAAACAATGATCATTGTTAAGCCATCAACAATTATAAAAACGATGTCGAGTAACAATAGAATATAAAAAAATATGAAATCATATTTAGTATTCTATATTATAACATAAAATATAATTTTTGCGATGGTAATATATTAATACGTTTATTAATGTAATTTTTAATTTCACGTAATTTTTTAATTTTGCATTTATTAATGTAGTTCTGACTTTTATAATGGCATGATATGAACTAAATTCAGAACTGAATTTAAGCGTTTATCAACGATAATATAAGTTATATGTTTATTGATGCAATTTCTATAAAGGTATGATGATATATTTACCAATGTTTTATGTAATGTATTACATTTTTAAAATTAATAAAAGAAAAATGAAAACGAGAATGAATAGCTTATTTTTCATATTATCCTTTACTAGAAAAATATAATTTTTAATTTTCAAGCAATAACCCAAAAATGAGTGGCAGCCAAGACAGATTTACTATTGGCACATCCTCTTTAAAACGTCTACAAGTTAGAAGATCAAAATGTTTGAGTAAAGATGTAATTATATTCGTTATTGATTTTATATACGTTTATTTAAATTTACTTACATCTATATATTATATTTCTCTAGATATCAGGAGATAGTATAAAACAATTCTACTTATTTTATTAAATCTTAACAAACATACTAATCAATAGTTACAATAATAATAAAGCATCTGAAGATAATACAGGAGTAGTTCTACCAAAAAAGACCTGTATCAAAAATATCAATTTGTTTTCCAATAATAAATTGATGTCTATTGCTGTCGATGATACTACCACTATCTCCACACCCATCAGACCTATACCAGCCAAGCCTACCACCATCTCTACATCCGTTAAATCCACCACCATTTTCATACCCGTCAAATTTACCACCATCTTCACCGCCATCACCAAGAAGCCCAACATCAAGCCCAACACCATTACCTCCACCACTAAAAAAATCATCAAGCCCAACATCACTACCTCTACCTCTAAAAAAATCATGCCTCCTCAATTAATGGTGAGTTTTTATTATTTCATTTGATACCTTTATATTAAATTGAATTTTTAATATATTTGTCATATTTTTATATCAGCTAACGAAAATGCAATTAACTAGCACCTTGTCATCTTCATCACGAACGGAAACACAATCAACTGGTGTTTTATTATCATTATTGTCGCATTTATCTACGCAAAGCAAAAAAACTGCCAAAGGTTCAAATTTATAGTATACGTTACAAACATATTTATTGCATGATATTTATCATTATTAATATATATATTTATCATAATTAGCTACCGTTAATTCGCGTACTTTAGATAAATTGTTGCTGCTCTGCCAAAAGAACAATGCGAAGCTCAATTAAATTTCAAAAAGGCAAGACGAGTTAGAGACGATTATTATCGAGCAAAAAGACAAAATTGATGAAATTTTATCAAAATTTGAAAAGCATAAATTCAATACAGAAATCAGGAACAGCAAAAAGGAGAGTAAAGATAAAGGAAAGAAAAATAGAATCAAATTTTATCAAGTAAACATATGCATGTTTATTATTATTTCTTTGTTTTACTCTAGCTTGATTTTAATTATCAACTTAATTTATATTACAGGAAGCGATTTGAAAATTATCCTACGAGTTATTTCACGAACACAAGTAACTAACAGATAATGAACTCAAAGCACACCTAAAGGCAAAATTAGACGGCGATGAATATTGCACAAATCAGCTTTGAAAACTGAAAGACAACGACATTAGTTACAACGATCTATGAGATGAAAAGCTATATTCAACCATTAATATTTTTATTTATATTTTTAGTTGTCATAATTTATATTGTTTATTAACTAATAATTTATTTGAATAAACTAAAGTTGCTTAAGGCGAATTATATCAAGAAGGGGTACTATATTTGCCGTATAAAAGAAAGCCTATGATCTGTCTTTGGGTTTAACAGGATTAAGCCCTTTGGAGACAACTGGTCCAAGGAGCAAATAAAAGATTGGAAGACAAGCAAAGAGGTAAAAGCAGTATATGATGATCTATATTGCCTAAGTGATCCAGATGACCTGTTATCAGACACATATGTTGCATTGATCATCAAGTCTGCTTTTGCATCCAATAAGGAACTAACGTAAGAAAATGCTGTTTGGACTCAATCAGTGCTCGAAACAATTTTTGATGTTGAATATCTCTCGACGAAAATTGATACCAAAGTGATTGAATCGTGAAAAGATGTTATTGAACGTAACGAACAGATAACATTATAAATATTTATTGCTTCATAAACTTTATTTCTTATAATGTTCTATCTTTAATTAGGATGATGAGGATGAGCAGTACGAGAAGAAAAAAGAAGTACAGGATAGCCCGCAACACAGTGAATATGCTTCTACTGATAAAGAATTATATGATCTTTATCAAAGTCTAGAAAATGATGCAAATTTTATGGATTAAATGTGTTTAACGCCTTTAATTATAAATTAACCAATTTTACTTTATGATGTATTGAAATACAT